TGTGTGCCTTTTTCCACCTCAGTTGTAATCCCCATGGGCTTCCCATCACCAAATCACCCACATGCCATCACCATAGTCCTGTGCAAGAAGTCTAGATTTTTAAAACTGATAATCTGGCCAAAACACCTCTGAAGATTGGGATTGTGACTCTTCCTTGCAGAAAAAGGCCCAGCCCATCCCACTACACCTCTCCCGTATCCCCCGCCAGCCCCCCAGACTTGCTCGCTAGAGCAGGGACCTGGTGACTCACCTTCTGTAAGTCTCCGCATAGAGCAGGCCAATGAACACTGGATGAGATAGGACCCTTGGGACACATCATCAGGGAGCACCCCCAGCCCCACGCTGGAGAGCTGAAAGCAGCCAGAGTGTCTGCATCAGTTGGAATCTGGCTTTGCCCTTGTTCAGTGTGAGACCGAGGCAAGTTACAGCAGCTCTGAGCCTCAGCTCACGTTCTGAGCCTCAGCTCGCTAACCTAGAGTGTAAGGGTTCATTAAAACAACGTAGCTATCTATCAGCACACTGTAGCAACTGGAGAGCTCACATCACCCAACCTCCCCAGCCCTGGCCGCGCTCCCGTGATCTATCATCTCCCACCATCCACCTGGCTGGTGCGGAGGGAGCCTCTAAAAGGCGCGTCTGTCATTTCCACTGCCAGGGTTTACAGCCTCCAGCAGTTTGCCGACACCCACAGGACAAAATCCAAACTTCCCCACAGCTCCTCAGGCTCCTGGGAAGCGGCGGCAGCGCAGCCTTCCAGCCTCATCTCTCACCTCCACCTCCCTTCACACTCTGCACTCCAGGCACGCGAAGCTACTCCTCCGATGTGCCACATTCTCTGCCACTTCAAAGCCTCTGCCAGTGCTTTCTCTCCAGCTGGAACCTCTTCTCTCCTCTACCACCCTCCCAGTGTCCCAGCTCTACACCATCAGGGAAGTCCCGATGCTCCTGGCTGAGCCTGAGAGCTGGCACAGTGACCATGCTCTCGCCACGCACCTCCTCCTGGCACGAAGTCCGCACAGAGCAGGGTTAGCGCGCACATTTGTGGAATGGGCCCCGCTGTGCTGACGCTGAGGTGAGCAGAGAGCGCCACCTGTCGACCCAACTTGGCACTTCAGCACCTAGAAGCAGCCCGCGCTCCTCAGGCAGAAGGGGGCAAAGGATTTGGTTTGTTTTGGGAGAGTAGGAGCAGTGACGTCTTATTGAAGTATCCTCACACCAAATTTCACTATTAAAAAGAAAAGAGCTGGCCCTCCCTGGTGGCGCAGCGGGTTAAAGCACAGCACTGAGAAGCTAAAGCCACTTCAGCATGAGTTCGTCCCTGCCTGCCCAGGAGGTGACCACAAGGCCCGGCAGACCTCTCCTGGCCCGCCCGCTGCTCCCCTCAGCAGTGGACTTTGTCGATCTGCCTGTTTTGCTCCCCACTCCGCATCTCACCGCCCCTGCACCTCTGGCCTGTACCCCAGCTCTGTATGCATAAATAAATCTTTTTTTTTTTTAAAAAGAGCTAAAACACTGTTGAATACTTAATGTGAAAGCTACACACTCCCCTAAGTGTTTTAGATATTAATTTCCACAACCATGAGGTAGAAATACCTTTACTCCAGGTGGTCTGGTTTGAATGGACACTTTTGAGCCCCAAACTCGCTGTCTCTATTCTGTCTCCTTGGCTCCATGCCCGGTGACCTAGTAATGACCCCAGGGGGCCCCTGTGAGGGCCCACTGAGGCAACGCTCTCAAGGTGGCACTGGCGTAAACCACAGGAACCAGTGACCCGCACATCTGCTGGCAGCACACACCTCTGGGACAAAACAGGCGCCCTGCAGACAGGGGCCAGCCGTGGCAGCTCCTCAGTGAGGTGGCACCTGCTGCTGTCAGCCCTGGCCTCGTGTGACTGCCCTGGCCTCGTGTGACCCTCCTAACCTCCCTTTCCTAGCAGGACCGCAGGCCCAGCTGGGTGGATCAGAGGAGGCTGTGAGCAGTCCCTAAGGCAGGCCCCCCCCCCCGCCGAGAGCAGGGGTATCACTCAGCCCCTCCATGGATCACCCACACCATGTTCCAAGCTGGGTCCCTTCACACATCTCCAGAACCCAGAGGGGGCCTCCACAGTGGTGCAATTGTTTAAAGCACAGCACTGCAAGCTAGCCACAGCCACCGCAGCACAAGTTCGATCCCTGGCAGGGAGGTGACCCACATGGTGCAGCAGACCTCTCCTGTCACCCCACTACTCCTATCAGCAATATACTTTGTCTTTCTTCCTGTTCTCCTCCCCGCTCTGCCTCTGGTGAATCCTCTCACCGCCCCTGCACCTTTGGCCTGTATCCCAGTTCTGTATGCACAAATAATCTTAAAAAAAAAATAGAACCCAGAGGGTGGCTACTTTCCTAAGTCCACCTACTTTCACCCTCTCCTCTGAACCGTTCTTCTGTGTCTGAAAGTGCCTGCCTGCCTCCACTTACGGGCTACTTAGAGTCAGAAAGCCAGTATCCACTGAGAACATTTGAAGCCCGAGTCATTATTCTGAAGGCTTTACATGTCCTAACTCACTGGGCCCACAACAGCACTATGGTTACCCCGACTTGACAGATGAAGTTGAAGCAGAGTGACCTGCTTTGGCTGACACGGGGTGCACAATCCACGCTGTCCAACACTGAGCCGGACCCCTCCACCGGCAGAGGCTGGGCCTGCTGTGGCCCTCACCCCCCAGGCACACTGCTTTGTACACAGTAGGCGTCAACAAACTTATTTTAATATAGATATGTTACACACACGCGCGCATGTACAGTCCCATTCCAGTGTGACAAACACCCTTCTTCAACAGGGAGCGTGTTACACCACACGCCAGGGGCCCGGAGACTCTCCAGAGAGAGCCCAGGCTTGGCAGTTTTACAGATGACACCCAATGGGGGCACTTTTATTGGACAAGCGGGAAAGGGCAGGGTGCGCCTTTGGGAGCACAGTGCCTGGTCTCATGCGGGCCCAGAGCTCTGCTGCACCCTTTTCATCAGTTCTTCGTCCTGCATAGACAACTCAGTCAACTTTTTACCCATCCGCTCATGGATGTCCAGATACTTGGAGACACACCGGTCCAAGCACACAGACTCGCCCTTGGACAGATCTGCTTCCTTGTAGTGGGGAGGCACGCACTTCCGGTGGCAGGCACTGGTCATTCTGAGGGGAAGGAAGGGCAAGGGTGGGTCAGTAGCAACCTGTGGTATACCAGAACTCTCCACCATTCCTGCCCCAACATACTGATGTCACCTCTCAAGGGAGCAGCGCAAAGCCTCAGTCTGCACCTCAACTATTGTGGAGGCTCCTTGAGATTAGGGATCCTGCCTGAACCCAAGTTCTAATTAACTTCGACCCACTAGTTAAATGCTGCTATGTTCCTTCCAGGCATCACGCTAAGTGTCTGACATGGATGCTATTATGCAATTCTTGTAAAACCCCCCACGGGGGAGCCACAATCACTATCCCTATTTTACATGTAAGGAAATTAAGGCACAGAGAGACTCAAGACGGTCAGACCCAGGCAGTCTGACTTCCTTAATTCAGACAATTAAAAAGTGTTGTAATATATGGATTCTAAGATAAACCAACTAATCAAAAATGGATACCTGAGAGTTTAAGTCCATAAAAATAGCAGAAATGGGGTCCTACCTGGTGGCGCAGCGAGTTAGGACACAGCACTGCAAGCCAGCCACAGCCACTCAGCATGAGTTCAATCCCCAGCTCTGAGGTGACCGACAGGGCCGAACAGACCTCTCCTGTCTCCTGTCTCGCCCGCTGCTCCCCTTAGCAGTGTCAATCTGCCTGTTCTGCTCCCCACTCTGTCTCTGGTGAATCCTCTCACCACCCCTGCACCTCTGGCCTGTACCCCAGTTCTGTATGAAGAAATAAATAAATCTTTAAAAAAAAATCTTTAAAAAAAAAAACTATTTTGTTGGGCTTGATGCACAAAGTTTGTCAGGTAGGAAGTGACTATCTCCATTTTACAAATGAGGAATCCAAGTAACACCACACTGGGGGTGGATTTATTCCCAATTTGCCAAATGGTGATAGTTTTAGCCATTCTGAGACAACAGTCCTGCCATTATTACTGATCAGTTGTGAATCCTGGGTAAGTAACCTTAAGCACTCTGGATTTTCTCACATTAAAAATAGATGAGTGAAATTAACCCAGTGGATTATCTTGAAGATTAAGAAACGATAATGTCTTTAAAATGCTCAGCAAAGTCCTGCGGTAGGAGTTTAAGGAAAGTTCACCACTAATTGGGCTCAGTGCTATTTGTCAAAAAGCAAATGTTCAACTGTTTTTGGACTCTATCCAGTGCTTAGACTGGCGCTTCCCTTCCTGCTGTACCTCTCCATTGCCAATTCCACGGCAATCTAAATACCCAGCTCCTTCTATTGACCCCATACTATTTCTGCATTGCTGCCAACCACAAAGAATGCAGGTTCAGGGAGGGTAAGCTGCGGGACAGGATCCCCTCGATTGAGAAAAGCATTTCAGAAATCATTCACCTCTGCCCTGGGTGATTTTCCAAGACAAAGTAGTTGAGAGTCTGCTCTTACCTGTTGTACATATCGGCCATCATCTCGACCTCCAGCTCCGCTGCCAGCTGCTGGGCCCTGAGCGGATCCATCTCAGTTCGGAACCGTGGAGAGCTACTGGTCTCCTAGTTCTGGGAGCAGACATCACCGTCAACACCCCTGCTTCCCGGCCACTTTTGCATCCCCGGGACGAGGATGCAAAGGAAACATGGCATATGAGATCAACAGAGACCACCGACCTCAGGGAGTGTGACACCCCATCTCACAGGTGCGGCAACTGGGGCTCCCAAGGGGAACACTACCCAGCCCAAGGTCACACACAGCACCTCAATGGTGGGGCTGGAGATGGCGCCCCCGGGCCCTGACACCCTATCCCTCGAGATCACCTTCATGTCAAAGATAGACCAAAACGCAAGTTCCACTAAACCGTGGACCACAAGTGTGGACTGTGGTGTCGTGGGAAGTGGATCATACGCGGAACTCTTGGGCGGCCCCAGGTTTGCACTCTGAAAAGTGGCGCCATCATGAGGGTTACCTTGAGGTCAGCGCTCACTCACCACAGGTGTGGCCGGTCACAGCGTCCCCAACTTCTGCACCTACAGGGCACTGCCCTCGGTGCCCAGGTAAGCGAAGACGGAAGCACGTGGGTCACTTCCGGGTGGGAAGTCCCGCCTCTTCTTTGATTTAGCGTCGCTTCCGGAATGAAGTACCATCGAGGCGGTGCTGGAAAGTTGGCTACCATAGAGAGGGAGCGGCCGGACCCGACTGCTGCGGAGGCGCGTGCAAATGCTAGAGAGGCCGCCAAGATACCATAGAGGCGTGGGCGGGGCAGAGTGCCGGCCGCCCGGTTAGAATTCCAGTCCAGGGTTAGTCTCCGGGAGGAAGGATAGTGAAGGGTTATGGGAAAGGGCAGATGACAGCGCTCAAGCAATCTCTAGTTCACGCTGCAGTTCTGGCGTGGAAAAGGGAAAACGCCCCTCCCATACAGCAGCTGTCAGTGCTGCACGTTAAGGTCACCTGGGAAGCTTTTAAAAATCCCGATGCCCAGACCTCCCCTCATACCAATTAAAGTCGAATCTCTGGGAGTTGGACCCAGATAAATGCCCCGGATGACCTCTGCGTGCAGCTTAGTTGGAGACCAATGCCCAAGGGACTTTGCGCGTTACCGCGGTGTGTAGGTCGCTGTGCTTTCCCTGGGGTTGCAAAGCCGAGCAAGCAAGCCGGACTTGGATCCAATATATTTTATTCAACTTCTGTTAGACTCCTGAGCCATACAGAGAAGATGGTGCCGTTTGGTTGAGAGTATTTATGAACTTGTCTTTCAAGACTAAGTTGATTCTTCCATCTGCACATACAGTGACAATAAAAACCACTTCAGTACCTAGATTCTGAAAGGACGTCCCAGTAATTGGAATTTATAAAGTGCAAATTAATGATGCAGAAGTACAATGTGCACTGTAGAAGTGGGCTGGACACTTTGTCTGACTGGCCATGAATACTTGCCTACTTGTCCGAGAAGTCTGGGTTTTAAACACTGAACATATTACTCTAGGGATTCATCATTGTTAGAAAAAATCCCGTCCTGGTACTTTTAAGTTTGACGTTAGACATTTATACAATCAAGTGCATATAATACAAAAATCTTAAACTGAATTTTCAAACATATATTTATTCTTTCAACTACTCATCAGCTCTCCCTATAAAATATTTGCAGCACCCTAAAAAGTGACTTCGTGTTCCTTTCTACCCCTGTCCTGCAGTGAATCACTATTCTGACTTCTTAATTATCATCAATTATTTTGCCTATTCTTGAACTTCATCTTCGTGGAATAATATTATTATTTTTATTTTCAATTTTGTGCATGATTTCTTTAGCTCAATGTAGGCTCTATAAGAACCATACTTTTGTGCATATGTTATTCATTCTTTTTTCATTGCTGTCCAGTACTTGATTGTTATGAATAAGTCAGAACTCATTATTGTTCATCAACAGGAACATCTTCCCGTTGATGTGTCTTTTGGTTTGTTTCCAGCTTGGGGACATTATGATTGATGCCTCTATGAATATTACTGTACAGATCTTTTAGTGCTCATATGTTGTCCTGGTTTCTGCTCTTGAAAATATAACCAAGATATTATGAAATTACACGAGGAGAAGAGTTCTTACAATAGGAATCTGGCTCCTAGATGAGATTTGTTTTAGCTGTTATGAAAAGTTACATACTATATTATTCCATTCTCAAGACAACAAAATTATAAAGGTAGAGAAAAGATGAATGGTTGCCCCTGGTTAGAGTAGGTAAAGGGTGAAAAGGAGGTGTGCTGATAAAGGAAAGATCTTTGTGATGATGTAATCCTGATTTTTCTATATCCTGATTGTGTTGGTGGTTACACAAATCTATACATGTAAGCATTTTAAGAACTATATGTAGTAATGTCCATTTCAAAGCTTCACTAAAGTTTGTTAGTGGAAATGAAAAGAAAGACATACAAGCCCCCTCTGTATTATTTGTGCAATTTCCTGTAATGCTTGTAATTATGTCAAAATAAAAACACTTTTAAAAATCAGGTGATTTGGTGATGGGAAACCCGCGGGGATTACAATCGAGATGGAAAAAAAAATGTGCAAAATGATGTAAAAATAAACTTTGTAATAAAAAAAAATCATTAGCAGATGCCTCCCTGGTGGCACAGGGTTTAAAGTCTCATATTATAAAGCTGTTGCCAGCCACTGCAGCATGAGTTCAATCCCCAGCCAGGGAGTGACCCACATGGCTCAGCTGACCTCTCCTGTCTCCCCGCTGCTCCCCTTGGCAGTGTATTTCAGTAGATCCACCTGTTCTGCTCCCCACTCTGTCTCTTCTTAGGGCAGATCAAGAACACGAGCGGTGGTGAGTACCGCACATAGCACATATCAGGAGTTGACAATTAGTCACAGCTTTATTTTCTTCACCTGGAATCTCTAACAGATTAAAGCCTTTCTCCATGTCACTTTCATGCCCTCAGAATTACAATAATCTCCTGGTGTCATCTCATACACATATTCCATTTCCCTGAATTTTGAAAAAATGTCTTATCGTGGCACAAACACTTAATATGAGACCTATCCTCTTAACAAATGTTCAAGTGAACAATGCAGTATTGTAAATGACCTGCAGATCCCCAGAACTTATCTTTCATAACTGCAACTTAACACCCGGTGAACAGCAGCTCCCTGCTGCCCCTCCCCCCAGGGCCTTGAAAACCCTTGCTGCTGATGTTATCTGCCAGGAGACTTGTCTTTTCCTTCCTGTATTTATGCAGTTGGGGGCTTGGCGACCTATAAGAAAGGATCTCCAGTTGTCTCTGTTAAGTTTCTTCTTAACAGGCAGTTTACATAGCCCCTGCTTTCGGGATCCCTTTGGAATCCAGGTACATCACCCCAATCTCCTGAGCTTTGTCAGCACTGTGCTGCAGCTCCTGCCCCGATTCTACCCTTCCAAGACTCCGGCCTCCAGAGGGGAGTTGAGTGTCTGTTACTCACCGGGTCAGCATTTCCTCTTGTATGGGCCCCGCCCAGAGGACCTGCAGGCCCATCACCCAGGACACCTGAGAGATTACAAAGACAGCCCAGGTGGGCTCCAGAGACGAGCAGGAGGTGAGAGGTCAAGAACGGCCGGAGAATGGCTTGAGTCTTTCTAGTAGCTTGAACGCTGCACCATCTTAAACAATCTCACTTTTACCACCCCTCACCTCCTCTCCTCCCCTCCACTGCCAGGACCCTGATCCAATCCCCTCTCCCCAAGCCCCAGCTTTCACCCGGGTCACTGCCTAAGTCAGTCTCCTAACTGCTTTCCAACTTGGGTTCATGCTCCCCCTGAGTCTGTTCTGAAAACAGCAGCCAGAACCATCTTGTCAGAAACTAAAGTTAGATCATGTCATTTAACCTAAAACCCTCTGTGGCTTCCATTCACAGAGCCAGTGCCAAAACCCTTACAATGACCTGAGCCCCACATGACCCAGCCCAGCAGGCTTTTCCTCCTCATCTTCTCTAGCTGAGCTACTCTGCCTCCTGTTCACCCGGGGCTCTCCTGCCTTTCCACTTGCTGTTCCCTCTGCCTGGACTAGTCTCCCCCAAAAGACTACACCCCTATTCTCCCTTCCAGTCTCTACTGCAGCACCGCGTCTCTGCTCTGATGTCTTCCTTGACCACGCCATCTAAAAGTGTCCCCCACCCTCAAGGGAAACACCTCTTCACTTCCCTGCTCCACTTTTCTCTGTAGCGTCTATCACCATCCAAAACAACAGACTTGATTGTATGACTTGTCTTGGTCTGAGCCCCCACGCTAAAATGTCTGCCCCATGACTTGGCTTAGCTCATTTCCTGTTGTGTTCCATGTAGCATCTCCAGCACATGTTCGATGTTTTCAAGCGTGGGAACATTTGATCAGCGAATAACTGAATTGTCTAAGCAAAGTTTTAATGGGTGACACAGTGATTTTTGCTACTTTCCTGTTTTTAATACCTAATAACAAAGGACAAGAAAAGAAGTAGGGGCCTCCCTGGTGGCGTAGGGGTTAAATTCTCAGTCCTATCAAGCTATCAGCAGCCCCTGCAGCACAAGTTGGATCCCCAGCCAGGGAGGTGACCCACAGGGCACGGCAGACCTCTCCTGACCGGCCTGCTGCTCCCCTCAGCAGTGTGTTTCGGTCAGTCAGCCTGTTCTGCTCCCCACTCTGACTCTGATGAATCTTCTCACTGCTCTGCACCTCTGGCTTGTGCCCCAGTTCTCTGTACATAAATAAATCTTTAAAAAATAAAAATGAAAAAAAGACAATAGGCCAGAGAGATATGGAAAATCTCAACCATCTTGGGCGGATACACCCAAGAAGGTAAAGGAGACGTCTCAATACTGGAGGCAGAGGCAACCTGCACAGTTAGGCTGTGAGCTGTTGGTCCTGGCTTTCAGTCAGGAGGCACGGGCCCCCAAGCTCCTCTCCCATAACTCTACCCACTGACTTACTTGTTGATGTGAGATGTATTTATTGAGCAGCTAATATGAGCCAGGCTCCCTGAGCACGCAAAGCCCAGCCCACGTGGAGTTTAGAGTCTAGCGAGACTAATCCAAGACTCAACATTTACTCTAGCTCCCAGTCAATGTCATGAAGACAAACGGTGAAGTGGGAGCAGTGAGGGAAGACATCCCTGAGCACGCGGAGTGTGAGCTGAGGGCCGAAGGAGAAGGAGCTAGTCTCACAAAGAACAGAAACAAAACCTAGTCCTGAGCATGGCCAAGAATCCTATTAGTGTCCAAGGGGGTTCGGGTGTGGCTGTCGCAGGGAGGACCAGTGAGGAGTCTGGGGAAGTCCTGAGACTCCTCAGTCGTAGGGTCCCCTGTGTGCTTCCCCTCAGTAGCCCCTTTCTGAGGCCACAGGACACACATGGAAAAGCTAAGGACGTGTGTTGTTTTTCTGGGCAAAATTCAGTTTAAAAATCTTTTCAGAGGCCCTCCCTGGTGGCGCAGCAGGTTGAAGCACAGCACTGGGAAGCTAAAGCACTGCGGCATGAGTTCGATCCCCCACCCAGAGGTGACCCACATGGCACAGCAGACCTCTCCTGACCCGCCCGCTGCTCCCCTCAGCAGTGTACTTCGTAGATCTGCTTGTTCTGCTCCCGGCTCTGTCTCTGGTGAAGCCTCTCACCACTCCTGCGCCTCTGGCCTGTACCCCAGGCCTGTATGCATTAATAATAAATCTTTTTAAAAACAGTGTGTTCAGAGCCTCCTGCATGGCAGTCACATCAGCTCCAAATGGGCCTGGGTTCCATGTTTTCTAGGCTCCCCACCCTGAGCTCCGTCAGCTGGGGGGGGGGGCTCTCCTCTTTTCCCTCCCCCCTTCCAAAGCTCTCTCTCCATCGTACTCCCCACACATCCCCCAGAGCTAGTCCAGCTGTCTCCTTTGCCCCTCCTCAGCCCACTCCTCAGCAGCTGCTTTTGTCTGAAGAAGAATAAAAGGGAGAATTTGGGGAATGCAGGTGGGGGCCAGCAGCTGCAGAGAGGCTAGCCCTGGCTCTGATGAGCAGGGGAGACTGGAGGGCTGGTGGCTTCTGCCAACGGACCTGCAGGTGTCTTTCTGGGATCCCCAGGGCCAGGCCAACACACTGGGAAGAAAGGGGGACAGGCCAGGCCGGGGCAGAGGACGCTGTGATTGAAAGTCACCACCTGTCAGATCTTCCCAGGAAATCCGAGCCTCCAGTCCAGCGGAAAGTGTTGTACCAACTGGGCAGTAAACAATGCTCTTTGGTGGCCCGGCACTTCCAGTGGGGACAGAGGGGCGTGGAAGGAGGTGACAGGCGGGTGAGGGGTGTGGGGGGCGGACTGAGGAGCTGGGGGCTTAACTAAGGGCAGCCCTGCCGGGGAGGGAGCCTGCACCGCTGGAGAAAGGACACAGCTCCCAGCCCGCAGGCCGAGACCCCACAGGTAGGAAGCTCTGGGCCCCTCTCCCAGTGCCCCTTCCATCTGCCAGCCCCCTCCCCACCTTGGGAGGGCTCTAGCCTCCAACAGGGACCCTCGCTTGGCCTGAGAAATTCAGGGTCCTCTTTAACCCTTCCCTCCACTACAGAATTCTCTTTAAAGGCCAGATGCCAAGGCTCAACCCCACGGCCGCCCTGGGGTGCAGGGCCTGCAGGTGGCCATCCCTGGCAGGGTCCAGCGGCAGGCTGGCCTCCGGAGTCCCTGCAGTCCTGCTGAGTTGGGAGGCGGGCTCCGGGCTGTAGACAGTGGGGTCTCCCGGCCAGCTGGGGGGCCGTGGGTCGTGGAGGTCAACAGAATACTATCTGGGTTTGGGCTCAGGCACCTGGCTCTCTTCTATGCTCCTGGTCAGCCAGGAGAAACAGGAGGGCTGTCCTCAGAGCTCCTGGACACAAAACAGGGGTGGTGTGATGGCTTCCTGGGGAAGCCAGGAGAGGAGAACAAGAAGCAAGGCAAGGATGGAGGGACTTTCAGGAAAGGCTAGAAGAAAGAGTGGACCCCTTCTCTCCCATTTCTGCCTCCCACCAGCGGGGTCCCCCTCACTGTCCTGGAGCCGTTGATGGGGCACTGGCTGAGGAACTGGGGGTGGGGGGGCTCTGGCCTGGCAACCAGGGGACCTGGTTCGAGGTCTGATTTGCCATGAAAACCCGGTGACTTCAACTCCTGAGCCTGATCTGTAAAATGGGGCGATAACATGTGTCCGGAGGGGCAGTTTGAGGACTTAACCAGGTAAAGCGGGCACTCGGGTGGAGGCTGGAAGCTGCTGTGCTATCGTTAAGCTGCAGTGGGCGGTGTTATCGTGCTTCCTCAGCATCCGGAATTTCTTCACTCGTTCTATTTATGACAAACCTGGAGGGTGGAAGGCGGAGGTGAGGAACACGCAGGGGGCTGAGGTGTGTGACTGTGTTCACCTGCCCTTCCCCTCCAACAGCCTGCCATGTGTTAAGGGACCAGGGATGGGGTGGGGGGGCTGTTCCATCATGCTTCAGCCAGCTCCTGCCATATAAAGGGGCTCGCTATCCTCCCACCAGTAGCCAGTTCTCTTCGCCCTGTCTCACCAATAAAATGTCCTTATGGCCAGGTCAGGACCTTAATCTGGCACCGGGTGAGGCAGAGGCCACCTGCATCCACATGCACCGAGCACGCTGTCTGTGCCAGCCACGCTCTAAATACTTCCTACACGTTGGCTCCACATCTCTACGGGAGAAGACCTACTTTGATCTCCAGAAATCGGCTAGGAAAGCTACATTGCCCAAGGTCACACAACTGATAAACGGGGTAGCTGGGACCCCACCCCATGGAGGAAGACTCTGGAGTCGGTGATCTTCCCCTCACCTCCTTGAGATGGTGGAGAGGGCAGGGGGCGTGGGGGTGTGCACCCTCGCTGCTCAACAGCGTCCTGGGTGGTGGGTGCCCTAGGGAAAAGCAAAGCCAAAGTAAATGAAAACCAAGAAACAAAGTCTGTGGTCAGAAAGGTTTGGGATAAAGTAAGTTCAGCAACGTTAAGTTTTCTTTACGGCGGGTTGTTGAGAATTTAAGAGCTGATGCAATTGTGTGTTTCGAAAAGGTAAAGAGTGGGCTGTTTCTGCAACAGTCAGACTATTTCCCCCACGCCAGCCTCTATTAATACCTGAGAGACCCTCGTTTTCTGCAGAACACAGTTCAGAAAACCTGATCTAATCCAGCCCTGTCAGTGTCACCGATCACGGAGGCCCTGGGAGGCAAAGACACTGCTTCTGGCCTCCGGGCGACCAGGAGCCAGGGGGCAAGGCCAGCTGTACCCCGACTCCGGCTGCTTGCACCTGTCTCCCCTGCTCCTGTGTCCTCTCTTCCTCTAATACCTTGCTGGAGCCTGAGCCCCAGTAGGGCCGGCAGGGGCGGGAGGGTTAGAAAGCAGGACAGGATGTGTGAGCGTCTTTTCAAGCCCCACCTTGCTTCCCTGGAGACGGTGGGGGCCCCAAATCCAGGGTCCCCCACTAAAACCCAAGTGGCAGCAGAAGCACAAGCCAATCTCTTTTCGGCCTGTCTTCCTGCCTCCTGTCCGATGTCCCATTTACGCAGATGCCCAGGCCACTGCCACCAAAAACAGTGGCACTACGGAGGACGGGGGTATTTTTAGGCAGTGACAGGAGAGTCTACTTCTCTGAGTGCCTGAGTCATGCCTGGAGCCCTATGGGGATTGTTTCCCTGGTAAACACACCCCAAGAAGGGCAGGGAGGGGGAGCGCTGGCCTGTGTCCCCTCTTGCTGGGGTAGCCACTATAGTATAGGCAGCTCTTGGCTAGGGGACCCCACGTCGAGTGCCATAACCATGGAGGGCCAGGAATAGGGAGAGCACACGTCTATTCTTTTCTTCACCAGAGGAAACCCTTCCCTACGCAGGGCAACCTCTTCCTGGAGAACTGGAAGTTGGCACAAATGATGCACCCAGAGACCAGCCCGCCCCCACGGGGACTTTGGCATTTTACTTCTGTGATTTAACTACAAATAGATCACCTGTGTTCTGCTTTCCTAAATGTCTTCCTTTAAATTCCCTTATTTCTGAATTCAACACATTTTTAAAAAAAGATTTATTTATGTATACAAGAACTGGGGTGTAAGCCAGAGGTTGTGGGTGGAGGTGAGAGGATCCACCACAGACAGAGTGGGGAGCAGCGCAGGCAGATCTACTGAAACACACTGCTGAGGGGAGCAGCGGGGAGACAAGAGAGGTCTGCTGTGTCCTGTGGGTCAGCTTCCCTGGCCGGGGATCGAACTCCGGCCACAGTGGTGATAGCGCTGAGACTTAGCTCCTATGCCATTAGGGAGGCCCCCTCAAAACATGTATTTTTAAAGGAAAAGTTAAGTCACTACTGGAAACAGAGACTCAATACCACTTGCCAGAAATAGAATGTCACTGTAAAAATAAATACAATGGAAATAAAAGTGTTATTAAGTCCCATCTGGATACTCCTACCTGCTCTGAGGATTGTATCTGAGGCCAAGCTGTCTCCATTCAAAGGGGAGTGTAGCTGTATGTATTTCCTGAGGCAACTATCCAACTGTAACTGCTTTATGGTTTTAATCAAAAAGAGGCATAATCATTGAAAAGATATTAGAGTAGCCCCCACCCCATGTTCCCAGGGGATCCCAGGGGGAAGCTCTAAGTAAGTTTTCACACATACACATGCCTGTGATAAAGTTTAATTTATAAATTAGGCACAGTAAGAGATGAATACCAATAACTAATCATAATAGATAATAATGCCAATAATAAAACTTAATAATAGAACTGTGATAACTGCTGTAGCCCAAGCCGGGCCTTATACTAACTCTCCCGCTCTTTGTGTTCACTCTTTCTCAAAACATCGCTGTGTGTGATATGTAATATTTTCAGACTTTGGTTAGCCAGACAGTAAGTTGAAACCAGGTGAGGTGAAACCACAGATAAGGGGGGAGGGGGGGGACCACGATATGTGACCCAAATTTCTTTAAAACCAAAGCCATCCTGGCCCTCCCTGGTGGCACAGCGGGTTAAAGCACAGCACTGAGAAACTAAAGCCGCTTCCGCATGAGTTCGATTCCCGCCTGCCCCTGAGGTGACCACATTGCGCAGCAGACCTCTTCTGGCCGCCCGCTGCTCCCCTCAGCAGTGTACTTCGTCGATCTGCCTGTTCTGCTCCCCACTCTGTCCCTGGTGAAGCCTCTCACCACCCCTGAGCCTCTGGCCTGCACCCCAGTTCTGTATGTACAAATAAATAAAAAAAAACTTTTAAAAAAAAAAAAAAAAAAAACCAAAGCCATCCCTGGGCCTTCTTGGCTCAGGGGTTAAGTCTCAGCCCTATCACAGCCACCACAGCACAAGTTCCATCCCTGGCCAGAGAGCTGACTCACAGGGCACAGCAGGCCTCTCCTGTCTCCCCGCTGCTCCCCTCAACAGTGTACTTTGTCAATCTACCTGTTCTGCTCCCCACTCTGTCTCTGGCGAATTCTCTCATCACCTCTGGCCTGTACCCCAGTTCTTGTATGCATAAAAAAAATAAATTTTTTAAAAAATATATAAAATAGAAGACAGAACAACCATATAAGATAAGAAACAAACAAACAAACAAACAACAACAACAACAAAAAAAAACGAAGCCACGCCTGAGACTGCTGTTAGGCGAACATCACCCAACATCAGGTCAAGGCCCAAACTCCCATCTCAGGGAAGGGGTGTGCTACTCCCCCATTTCACCACAAGGAAAGTGAGGTGTGGGTCACGAGTCCACATAGTGGAGGCCCAGGACTGACCCACAGACCCGCGCTCTCTGAGGGTGAGCGAGACTGGTCCTGCTTGTCTTCTCTTTCCAGAAATGGAGCCGAAGGAAGGGAAGCCCGCTGAGGATGGGGCCGCTGTCTCCCCCCCAAAAGAGACCCTGGGGGAGCAAGGAGGTGCTGCAGAAGAGGAAGCCCAAGGCTCAGAGGGGAGGACCGACGAAGAAAGGCCTGCAGAAGGGGCTGGAAAGCAGGACAGGGCGCCCGCAAAGGACGTCATTTCCGCTGACTCCCCCGGTGAAGCAAATGGATTGGAGGAGGTCAGAGTGGACGCCAAAGAGCAGGCTGAGCTTCAGAAGCAGGATGGCGGGAAGGAAGAGGCCACAGTGGCCCCTCCGGAGGTGACTGATAGGAAAGAAGAGGCCAAATCTGAAGCCAAGGGGGCTGAGGAGAAGGAGACCTCGGTGGCCGTCTCTGAGAAGCAGAAGGCCGAGGAGAAAGAGGCCCAGCCTGGATCTCAGGACAAAACTGACAGGAGTGAGGAGGCCAAGGCTGAGCCAAAGGTCAAGGCCGAAGCCAGGGAGGCTGACGGGAATGGGGAGGCCGCCAGGGCCTCTCAGGAGGGGAGGAGCATGGTGGAGGAGCCCCAGGTGGAGGCCTCGCCTGCTGGGGCAGATGAGGTCACGGAGGGGCCTCCGGACACTGACAGCAAGGAGGAGCCGGTGAGTGAGGCAGGAGGGACTCGGCCCCTGTGGTGTTCCGGGGCCCCCTGGCCCTGGTCAATCAAGTCCCCTCCTGTTCTATTTTCTTGGGAAACCCCAGTCTTCCTCCCACCGATATTAGGAAGCTGGGGTGGGGGTGCAACGCTGCGCCCCGAGCCGCCTTCCAGACCGCTCTGAAGCCCTCGCCACGTCTCGGGCAGGTGCTTGTGTGACTCTGAGCCCCACAGATGATGTTCATTCCAGAGGTCAGCGGGCCCCCATGAAGAGCAGGACCAGGGTGTAGAGAGAGAGGCAGAGGGAAGAACCCCGGGGACCCCCAGCTCCCCCGAGGAGTGGCCCGAGAGCCCCACGGAGGAGGGCATCTGCCTCAGCCCAGGTGAGCCAGAGTCAGGAGCCCCCCCCGCCCCCCCCCGGCACCGCAGGGCTACCTGAGGGGATGTGTGGGAGCATGGGGAGTAGCCCCAGCGCACCCCGCACCCCTCCTGCTCCTTGCCTACAGGTGGATTGAGCCCAGATGCCGCAGCTTCTGGAGAGTCCAGTCCTTCAGCCAGGTAATGTCAGCCCCGGGGACAGTCCCCTCCCCGCCACCTGCGCCCTTCAAGGTCCACAGGTCCCGGGGCCTGCTGTGAGCTCTCCCAGGACCCCTGGCATTCATCCCCTAGCCCAGCACAGCACCCAGGGAACAAGAACCAGCCGTGGGGCGCAGGGGCTGTGGGGCACACAGGACCCCTTCCCACTCCACCGCTGGATGCAGCCTCCTCTTCTGCGTGCACTTCCTGGGGCTCCTCAGCTTGCAGCCAGGTGCCCAGGGGTCAGCCCCACGCACAAGTGCAAGCTCAGGAAGCCCAGGTTCAAGGGCCCTGCCACGCAGCAGCGGCCGACGCCTGCGCAGTAACTGTTCCAGCCTCCCCGACTAAGGCTCAGTGGCGCCCCCTGGGCAGCAGCCAGCTCGGCGCCTGCGCAGTAGGAAAGAGCCTCATTCCCGCCGTCGCAGGGACGCTTTAGAGAACCTTTCTTTATGTCGGGCTGAAATTCACCTCCAGGTGATTTTCTTAAGGAAAGATAAGCAGTGAATATTCTCTGAGCGCTCAAGCAGGCGTAACTGGGCTGTAGGAAGTCTTGTTCCCGTGTTACAGGCCAGGAAACCGAGGCTAGTAGCTATAACATGAGGTCCCAAGATCACACAGCATAGAACAGACAAAACCCGGCCCTCCCTGGTGCCGCAATGGGTTGGGATGCAGCACTGCAAGCTGGCCGCAGCTGCTTCAGTGCGAGTTCGATCCCCGGCCCCGGAGGTGATCCACATGGCACGGCAGACCTCTGTCTCCCCGCTGCTCCCCTCAGCAGTGTACTTTGTCCTGCTCCCCACTCTGTCTTTGGTGAAGCCTCTCACCACCCCTGCACTTCTGGCCTGTACCCCAGTTCTGTACCCATAAATAAATCAATCTTTAAAAAAAAAAAAAGGACAAAACCAGGGCTCCAACTCAGATCAGATCTGGCTCCCGCTGTTGGCACCAAAAGAGGGCACCCGCACTGAGTGCGCCCCTTACACCATGTCACCAGGGCAACGCCCCCGGCCCCCCACTCCCTACCCAGCCGTGTGTGGGGCCCTCCGTCTCATGCTTCTCTGACCTTTCCATGCAGTGAGTCTTCGCCCAGTGATGTGCCCCAGACTCCCACAGAGCCCCCACCGGCCCAAGAGAAGAAGAAGGAGAAGGCCCCCCCGGAGCGCAGGGTGTCGGCCCCTGCGAGGCCCAGAGGGACCCGAGCACAGAACCGCAAAGCCATCGTGGACAAGTTTGGGGGGTAGGATGCAGGCGGGTGCTGCTGGCTGGGCCTTCCAGGGCCTGTGGGGTGGAGGGAGGGGAGCCTTTTGGCCCCAGGCTGGGGCTTCTCCCTGACGGCCCCTGGCTCCCTCCCCGCAGGGCGGCCTCGGGCCCCACAGCCCTGTTCCGAAACACGAAGGCGGCGGGGGCGGCCATCGGCAGTGTCAAGAGCATGCTGTTGGAGTGGTGCCGCGCCATGACCAGG